CCCCAAAACCCCAAAACCCCAAAACCCCACTTAAGCAAATTCTGTCCTTCTTTGGTGTTTGTAAGCATATTTAAATATTAGTTTAATTTTTAGTGATTATTATTATATAATGCTATTTATTCTTGAGTACTCAGCAGTTAATCCTGATTAGTAGAACTACTCATTTACTATTTTTAGAGTTCAGTGTCATTCATTATTTATTCTATAGTTACCTGCTGATATTATAAATTTCTATTTCGATTATTTTCTGGACTTTATGCATTCAATCCCTAATGGTGCTGATTAAGTGATTGGCAATTTTAATAATTACTCTACTAATTTAAATGATTCTACTAGTTCTATTCAGAATCTGATATATCAGTTTTAGTATTTCTTGCCTCATTTCCAGATATTGGCGTCCTTGTTTGCTAGGCATTGGAAATATATGAGTTTTCCTAATTGGCTGATATTTCAGAAATTTCGTTAGTAATATCTTTCATTTCACTTTCATTTATTTTTATTATTGGAGTTTTTATGAAATCTATATCCTGCTGTTGCTGGTGGATATTCTGATTCAGTTTTATTGACGTGAAATTGTCAAAGACTGCTTCAGAATCATCAAATGCCTTATCCTATCGCCATGATTCCTTTACTTGCTTAGTGTTCAATCTATCAGCCACTAAAAGATTAGTAATATAAATATATACATAAGGTCGTTGTATGGATAGGACTTCTATTAAACTATTAGGGATTAGCTTACTCATTTAAATAGATACCTCCTCTTTCTTTATTCTTAAAATTACTCAAAGATATTGACTCTTAGTATCTTTTTATACAGTTTGGCCAAATACTGTAGTCTAGTTTCAGTCGCTTAGCATATTTGTCTATCAATCTAGGGTCATATACCTCCTTTTAGCTGTGAGCTTTTTTTGCAATTAAATCTGCGAGTTTTTTAAATTTCTAAATTAATATTAAAAACTCAATAATATACTCTCTTAAGTTCTTTCCCCTATCTTTTCCAAATTTAGTCTTCTGTTTCTTTTCTTTTATCAGCACTAGTATAATCTATAGAAATATCAATATTAAAATCTTACTCTCTAAATATTCTTTCAAGTCATCCTAAACAATATAGATAAATATCCTTTTTGGGAATACTTAGAGACCTTTTTTGCCTTTTATATCTGTCACTGCTTAATTTTATTCAGCCTTCTCTTCGCTAGAAACAGATTGACGGCTTTGAACTTAATTCTCTTCCTTTACTTGATTACTTTGTGTTTATTATATGTATTCATAATTTTTTGCTTTTTTAGTTTTTTTTATTTCCCCTGATGAAGATTTTTCAGTCTATCTTGCTGCTTATTTTGTGGAAATTTCAATGTCCTTATTTTAATAATTTTCTTGCTTTACAATATCATCATGAGATTTTGACTCCTCATCTTTCCCTTTTTTAATAAGTTATTTTTCCTATTCAAACTATTTCTGATAATTTTCTAGTATTTTACTAGGTGAAATTTCATTAAGACTTATTCCATAGGCATTAAGGCACTCTTGCAACTTGGATTTCTTGGTTTCACTTTCTTCGTGATTTGTACCTGCATTAATGGCTTCATCATTTATATCCTAGTGGTTGAAATTCTAGAAATCATCGTCTGTATCTTACAAATGTTATTGCTGCTATCTGTAATTATCATTTATCTAGTCATGATTTTAGTAATGAGCGTTATAATTATTTTCTTGATATAATGGATGCTAGTAGTGTAAATATGCATTGTAATATTTCTAGTCCTATGGATAATGATAACTTGGCAATGGATGCTGATTGTAATGACCATAAATGCTATTTCTGTATGACTATTGTGGATGATTTAATTAAGCATCTGGGTAGATAAATTTAACCTCGTTTGCAAAATCATATACTCGATAGAAAACTTGCTTCAGGAAAGCCAACTCATTATTACTCATTTAAGATATCTATGATATTTCAAACCCAAAATATTATTCTACTCTATCAAAACTCGCTTGGGGATGATCCCCCAATATTTTAAGGACAGTCTTCTTTTCACTCATCTTCTTCAAACTCTCAAAACTTGTCTAGACTTCTATAAGAGTTATAAAAGTGGAAATGAATACAGGAATCAAAGAGGCAATATGGGTAAAATTTAATGAGATTAATTAATTTGTAGTTTGGAAATACTTTAAACTGCTTTGCAAATTTCTTTGCAGATTTATCGAATTCCTTTGCGAACAGTAATTCTAGTTTCAATAACATTCAGCAAGAGTAAATGAACCATTAATTACTTGCGGCTTAGGTTCAAAATTTAGTGAATATATAAAATTTTAACCAATAATAAATATACATTTAGAATCAAAATCAGAATCTTGATTAAAAGCTGGCCAAGCCAGATGGCGAGACAAGGAATAATCAAAAATAGATAAATAAAAATAAAAAATCAAATGGCAGTTCTATCCCTAATAGTTTCATGCTCTATTATTATGATAAAAAAATAAAATATATGAAGCTGAAGGCAGAGCAAAACTCAGGGAATCAATTCTCAATGAAACAGTTTAGCAAAGATATTGCAAGCTGCTGGAATTAAGAACCTAAGGAGTTGAAGAATCTCTATGTAAAACTCTTTAAATATTTTTCAAAGATCAAGTAATTCAACTATAAGCAATGCCTTACAATTAATGTTTTAGAGTACGGGAAGAGATAGTGTGAATTTCCAATTTAAATGCTTGATCCATAATATGATAATATACCTCCTGAAACTATTTTCGGAGAAGCAACTGCTTAAATACCAGCTCCACAAGATATGTAGACAGAAACTAAATAACCATAGGAATCATAATTACCAAAAGATGATGTTCCAAATTTTTATGTTTTTAGTCCACCCTATTAAGCTGATGAAGTAAAAGATATTATTAAGATTGAAAAACTAAATAATTAAATCATTAATACTGAAGAACCTATTGATCTATCTACAATCTCTGAGGTTGATGAGTATTTTGAAGAAAATCCAGAGGAAAACGATTTTGGGGCTGTAAATAATAGGATTTCATTGAAATCGATGACTGTAAACTAATATTTAGACTGATTTCATTCTAATCTTAGCCTTAATTTATTAATAAATTGTTGAGTTTATTCACACTTACTCTAGGTCCCTCCTCGTCTTACTTCAATTATTGTTAGTATTCTTAGTGAAATTAAGATATTAAATGATATTTATAGACAAGCAATCTCAATTATTTCTTACATTTACATCCAGATAGCCCCAATCTAAAGGCTTGCTCTTATTGATTAAAAACTAGTTTTTATTTTTTAATGCCCTTCCATTTACAAATTTTTCCATAAATGTTAATTTTACACTTCCCGGCTCATCATCTCTTTCTTTATTTTCCTCAACCATGTCAATAACCTAGGTCTCCTTTATTTCTTTTAATTTCCTATAGTAATCTCTTTCTCCTGTTACTTTCTTTAATGAAGATATGCAATAATCCTTATATTCATCCTCATTTTTTTCAAGGCCAATCTTGTCATTGTCCGTATCCTCCCAAAACTCTCTATATTCAATAACATGAGAAACTGGGATAAATATATTCCTAACGAATGGACATAACTTTTTCCCTCGAGCATTTTCTATCTCTAGATAGTTCATTACATCTTGCGGTATTACATCCAAACTTAATGGCTTCACACAATTGAAAAGATCTTCTTAAATTTACCAATAATTATTATCTTTTTTGCACATTTTTGCAGTAATAAGTGAGTTTACTTATTCTTTACAAGTTCCTTCTTTCAAATGCTTGATGTAATCGTCGAGTTTCCAAAGATTCGGACAAGTAAACTCCTCGAAACCGCTAAGTTCCAAAATCTGATTATAAGAGTAGTCAAAAAAGTGTCTTAATGCTTTCAAAACCATGTCATGAAGACCAGCCTTATGATAAAGCGTCCTGAATGTATGATTATTGACATACTCATTAATGACTTTTTCAGTTGAAGCATATCTGAGGCCTTTTAAACTTTTTTTCATGTTATTCCATTATAATTCGATGCCACTTGTATGAACAAAACCAAATTTTTCATGCACATATCTTGTTATATGGCAAATCCAATAATGATAGTAACCATATTGTGTCAATTTAGATTTACTTTTAGGCATGTTCACATATGAAGAGTGACTATCACTAAAAATAACAGTGCCAGGAACAGTGTGTCTCTTTATAATATCTACTAAATTTTTATGTGATTTGTCTTTAATAAAATACATTACTGGAATTCTTGTTCTTCTACATAATAGGCCAAATACCCACCTCAATTACGGGAAATGACCCATATAACTCCATCTTTACTAACCGATTAGAGTCTCGTCTATATCTATTTAATCGTGAAATTTCAAGAATGGTTTAACTCAATCATCAATAAATCAGCTGCAGGCCTTTCTGATGATAATGAAGAAATCAGCCATTGCTCCATCTCTCATTAAGAAATGAGCTTGTCTAGAATTGCAATTATGACCCCATAATTCTATTGCAGCATCAAATTTTACAAAATTAAGGCCCAGCATTGGAGTAGAATGTGTTAATCTTTCTGGCCTGAAACAGTAAGGACATATCCATTAATATCCATATAATTCACTGATGTTGTACATGAATCTCATTTCAGTATTGCAAAATATACAGAACCGCTGAGGATGAAGCAAGCCAAATCTCATCATATCATATATGATTTTGATTTTAGGCTTAATAATTACTAAAGGATTCATTATTATGAGTGAAAATAGTCTGGTGATTAATTTACTATAAAATTAAGAAATTACTGAGAATCTAAATATTTAGAATAATCCAAATATATCAAATTCAGAACTCATGGGGTTTTGGGGTTTTGGGGTTTTGGGG